TTAAACTGTATAACGATAAATAATGTAAAATTAAATTTATTTAACAGCCAATCATATGAAAGTGGCCTAAATACTAAAATAACCTGATTATGGGCTGAAGAATCCTTTTTATGCATTACGTACCATCATACAATTAACATCTAATACATATGAGGGTTGTAAAAGAAAACTTGGTGGCTTATCGATTTGATATGGTAATTTAATTAACAGTTAAATTTAATTACCCGATCACTACTGCTACGTACGTACGTACGTACTGTACGTACGTACATAAAAGATAACAGATAATGAAAGTTTACAGTTAACGTTAAGCATTCATACGTATAAATAATGCGAGCAACGATCGTTCTACATTTCACGTGACAAAATTCAACATTTACGTATTATTTGAGTACGTATAACATTTCGGAATGCTTCACTAACATCCGAAACATCTTACTCGACCATAACCGATAATAAAGCAGATAATAGACAATAGACGGAGATTATGCAGTGTACAACGTTTCCATTTGTACTACGTTTTACAATTTTTTAAGATAGTTAATGCAGCGATGGACCCTTTGAGCGTTGAAAAATTTTTATATTTATTCTTATGCAATGTCATCTACGGGTACTGATTTCGAACCTGTTAAAAAAGTTATTTCTGAAAGTATAAACGTGCCTGACATAACGGACATAACGGACATAACGGAGGTTAAACAAACTGTTGAAAGCATGACCTCAAAAGTTTGCGATGTTGACTTTTCAGGTATTTCATTATCGTATTTTATGAAAATACAATATTTAAAGTTTTTAAATTTTATATGCTGTTTCGTAATAGTTTCATCTTTATATTAATGTTTTTAAAAATGATTTCTTTAAGTAGAAATAATCTAACGATAATAATAATAATAATAATAATAATAATCAATTTTTTATCTAGAAATGACAATCCATCAAGCATCTCGACAAGGAATTCTACATGTTGTAAAAAATATAATCGAAAGTGGATATGCTAAAGCAACAGATAGAGACACTGAGAACGTGACTCCGTTACATTTTGCTGTCATTAATAATCATGTAACTGTTGCAAAATATTTGATTGATAATGGTGCTGAAATAGATGCTTTTGGTGGCGATTTGATTGCTACTCCGTTGCATTGGGCATCAAGGTGTGTGTGAATTCATTTTTTATTTGTATCCTCTAGGTCCTATATCCTATATCCTATATCCTATATCCATAATTGATTTACTTTATTATCATTTAGAAATGGTCATCTGCCTTCTGTAACCCTTTTAATTAATCATGGTGCTAATCCAAGTCTCCGTGATTCTCAAGGCTTTGATTGTTTACACCTTGCCGTACATTCTTCTAATCCTATGTTAGTGTTATACTTTATATGTCTGGATATGGCCATTGATACTCAAGACTCTTCACAGCATACTCCCTTGATGTGGGCCGCTTATCAATGTGATTCATTAATTGTAGATATACTTATTCGACTTGGTGCTTCTCTATCCAAAGTTAATAATACGCAGCTTACTCCTCTACATTTTGCTGCTATGAAATCTGATAAAATGTGTTTGAGAAAGTTAATAGAGGCTGGTGCAAATATTAATGCAAAGGATGAGAATGGTAAAACGCCCGTTGATATTGTTAAAGAAGTAAAGAATATTGATAAATGGAAAAAAGCAATGAAGGAAACTGGTTTGGAAAATAATGGTAAAAGAGGTCCATACTTATTCG